GGACCGGAGCAGCGTCTCGGGCGGTTCTTGCGCCGCCTTGGCAGCGTCTACTGAGGCCAAGTTGGGCTGGGGAAAGCGAGCGGTCCGGGTCCCAAGTGCGGCCCTCGCCGGGCTGTGGGGGCTCCCGTTCCCCAGGACGTCTCTGTCTAACAGGAGGGTGCACAGGAGTTTGATTTCTTTGCGCCCTGTGGCATCCAGGAAATTACCTTCCCAAACGACCCCTTGTAGTGCGCCGCCTTGGCAGCGTCTACTGAGGCCAAGTTGGGCTGGGGAAAGCGAGCGGTCCGGGTCCCAAGTGCGGCCCTCGCCGGGCTGTGGGGGCTCCCGTTCCCCAGGACGTCTCTGTCTAACAGGAGGGTGCACAGGAGTTTGATTTCTTTGCGCCCTGTGGCATCCAGGAAATTACCTTCCCAAACGACCCCTTGTAGGAGTCCAGTTTAAAAGGGCAACTCTGGCAGTGTGGCAAGGACCCCTTAGGGTGAGACGCTTGGCCCTGTGCCCAGCCCCAGCTGTCCCATGTGGCACACAGATGCTTGCTGCCCCACAGCCTTGCTGATGCCATTCAAGGGACTGGCCCCGGCCGGCTCTGCGGCAGTGCTCGGATTCTGTCAGCGGGAGGTTCAATCCTCCCCCAGCTGCACTCGGACCAGGCTCCTCCACCATCTCCCAGCACCTCTTTCAATGGTTCCTGGACCATATCAGGGAGCAAGGTCTCTCCTCTGCTCCTTCCCGGTGGCTCCAGGCAAAATGGCTCTCGCTTTACAGCTCCTCTTTCTTCTGTTCCCCTCCTGCTAGCCCTTAAAGCTGTCTGGGACTGTAGTTCAACCCAGCTCTCTGGGTCTGGTTTTCCTGGGCTTGAAGTAGAAAGCATCCCTCTCTGCTTAGCCTCTGGCAACCTAGGGGTGGCAGTTGCATTTAGTTAGTCTGTAGAGGTGGATCTGTACCCTGCCTTCAGAATAACACATCAAACTTGCTCTCAATTTTCTGTTTGCCAGACAAATCCTCCATAGCTTAGGCTAGTGGTGCACAATGAAAGGCCCTGCAGGCCAGCTGAGTGATGCGGGATAGTTTCACAGGCCCAGTCTGGCAGGTGATGGATCAGGCCCTGGTTCTATGTGCCATATCACAGGCTTGGCCCTGGCCCTAAGCCAGATTGGGCCCACTTCTGTGGCTTCTGCATGTGCCCCAACCACTTCTCCACACCTGTTGGAGCCCTGCCCCAGCCCTGGTTCCCTGCGTGCAGAACTGTGTCATCTGGCCTGCGGTGCTTGGAAATTTGATGTTGGGGCGGGGGTGGCAGCATTGATTGCAGCAGTGATTGGTTTTTGAGAACTGGTAAAGTGGTTACCTCAGCTTTGGAGTCTAGAAGTAGAAGTTTGGAGAAAAAAATAAACAACTTATTTAAAAGAAGAAATAGCTAATTTTGCCAGTGAAAGTATACCAGGCAACTGCAGCGATAATTGTTTGTGCCTTGGGGTGAAAATCTTGTGCGTGTATTATGTATTTATTTGGATTTATGTTCATTTCCCTGCTATCTGCTACTTCTGTGTTTTGTTCTAGGTGGTAAAGCCACATACACCTTTAATTAAATTTCCAGACAGACAAAGTACCCCCAAACTTAAAAGTAAGTCTCGCATTTGTAAATGCAAATTGTAATACTTATATCCGTGCTTTAATGTTTACATAAAGACAGTGACACTTTCCCTTTATTTAGCTAATAATAATAATGTAGTTCAGTTATTTCTGAGCATTGATTCTTGTAGTTGCTTGACATTCTAATATTTTACTCTTAAGAAAACTGACCAGATATTATTCATAAAACTAAGGTTAGCGTATTCTGTCCATGATCCAGGCAGAGTCTTGAGGATTTTTATCTTTATCCTCCTCTTCCATTTTTGTATCATGAGGTCCCCTTGCATAAACACTAGTGCTAATTTAAAAGAAGCTTTAATTGATCTCTTGTTGCCACATCATACACAAGTTGCAACTTTCTTTTGATTGTAAGTATAAACTTTTCACCTTGATCTTTTCCTTTGTCACCTGAAGCAGGTTACTGCACTCTGCTCTGTCCGTTTTCAGTCTATTCATCCTGAAAAGATGTAGACCAGGGATCGACTAGGTTTTGCAGCTGGGGGCATAATGGATTTGGTTGCTGACCCCTGATACAGACTATAGTAACCTATTTTTCACCAGATCATAGAATCATAGAAGTAGGGTCGGAAGGGACCTTGTAGATCTTCAAGTCTGACCCCCTGCCTGGGCAGAAGAGAAACTGGGCTCAAGTGACCCCAGCCAGGTAGGCATCGAGCCACTTCTTAAAGACCCTCAGAGTAGGAGCCAGCACCGCTTCCCTTGGAAGTTGGTTCCAGAGCCTAGCCACCCTAACTGTGAAGTAGTTCCTACAGATGTTAAATCTGAACCTACTCTCCAACAACTTGTGGCCGTTATTCTTGTTATCCCGGGGGGCGCTGGGGGAAACAAGGTCTCCCCCAAACCCTTCTGGTCCCCCGTAGTGAGTTTATAGACAGTCACAAGGTCCCCCCTCAGCCTTCTCTTGTGAAGGCTGAACAGGTTCAGGTCCCAGAGCCTTTCATTGTAGGGTCTGCCCTGCTGTCCCCGGATCATGCGGGTGGCCCTCCTCTGGACCCTCTCAATGTTGTCCACATCCCTCTTGAAGTGGGGTGCCCAGAACTGGACACAGTACTCCAGCTGTGGCCTGACCAGTGTTGCGTAGAGGGGGAGGATCACCTCCTTGGCCCTACTCGAGATGCACCTGTGGATGCACGATAGGGTCCGGTTAGCCCTGCTGACTGTGACCTCGCATTGTCGGCCCATGTTCATCTTGGAGTCAGTGATGACTCCAAGATCCCTTTCTGCCTCCGTGCTCTCAAGAAGGGAGTTTCCCATCTTATAAGTGTGTTGCCGGTTACTACTGCCCAAGTGTGGCACCCTGCACTTGTCTGTATTGAAATGCATCCTGTTTTTGTCAGCCCACCCTTGCACCCTATCCAGGTCTTTCTGCAGTCTTTCCCTCCCTACTAGCGTGCCCACCTCACCCCAGATTTTGGTATCATCAGCGAATTTGAACAGGTTGCTTTTCACCCCGTCGTCCAAATCGCTGATAAAGATCATAGCTTTAGTGCACCGTGTTTTCTGTCATCTGCTAAATGATAGCTTCCAAAGGAAGTTTACAGACAAAAACCCATCCCTTATACCTTGGAACTTCTCTGCTTAAGAAACTGTTTTTCTCCTTTGTCATATGACTGTGTTGAGGCTAGCAGCAGCACTGGATCCCGTCAGCTTAAAAGAAAGGGGGCAGTTGGCAGGGCATTTCCTTTAAGGCCCTTCGCTTTGGAATTCACTTTCACCCACTGGTCCAAAGTGGTCTCAAGTTATTGATTTCCACAGCATACTGCAAAACTTCACTGTCTTCTCATGCATTTGAAAGAAAAGAGAGAATTGTAGTTGGGCTGGTCAGAGGGAGGGTGTATTATGTGGGCTATTATTGAAGTTTGGTCTTAGTTGGTTAGTTTCTGCTGCAGGAGATAAGAGGCTGCTGGTTCTAACAGATTCCTGCTCTTCAGATGGTAAAGACCATTTGATAAAACATCACCTTATGCAGATCAGCAAACCCTAAATGAAGAAATCATTACTTCATCTTTAAAACCAAGGAGCAGCTACCATAGGAGAACCCAAGAGATGAGTTGAGTTTCTTTCTCTCAGACAGTAAGGGTATGAATTATGGGGGAGCTTGGAGACAAGAGCCCCACCTGTAAGATTTGAAAATCATAAGGTCGGGGGGCGGTGTTCCAATCAAATTGTTCCTTCCAATGAACTGCTTTCATTTTTTTTTGCAGCCCCTCCCCCCAAGTCAATGTGTAATTTGAAACCTGCAGACAGTGGTTCTTAACTGGAGTGCCAGGAGACCCCAAGGTGTGCTGTGGTGTGGTGCTGGTATGACAGCAGCCAGATGGAACTGACCTGAAAGCCTTGAGTGCAGCTAGATTGGGAGGGACTGTAGCATGAGAGATTGTTCCTGCCTGATAAAGCAGGTGGGAACCGCTGGTTCTGTCACAGCCCTACCTGGTCTAACACTCCATGACATTGCCTGGAAATAGAGGTATGTAGGGTAGGTGTAACTGTCCTGCATACCTCTGTTTCCAGTGTGTGTGTGTGCCAGGGGGCAGCACTGGACTAGAGAAGTGTGCAGCAAGAGCAGGTGTTCCTGCCTGCTTTAGTGGTTCTCAACGTGGGTGCTGCTGAATTGGGGAAAAAAAAAAGTATGGACAAGTTTCCTAAATCTGAAATGTATAAGAACTGCAGTTCTAAAAGCACAAATGCTTCTCTGCTCAGTAATACGTTGCACCAATTTGATGTTTAAACCCTGACTTTTCAGAAGACTGCTAAACAACAGCTTCCTCTGTCTGCTTCTTATAAGTTAGTCTGTCACTCATTCTGGTACAGTTTCTCCACTGACAGCTAATGTACAGGCCCCTTCAGTCATGATTTCACTCTCAGGCTGCAGTCTCACCTCTTCAGTTGTTTGACTCCCTCCTTATTTCAGCTCCATGTAACTGCCTTGGGTGGGCGACATCAGTGTTGTATGCTTTGACTTACTCAGGTTGCTAAATCTTTTTGCTGATTATTCTGTAGTTATTTCAGACAGTTTTCCTATCCTTGATATTAATGCTTTGATTGCTGATCGTTTCTCAGCTGGGCTGTTGCAGTGTCTTTGTCTCTTGGGCATTTCATTCTGTTTGGTCAATTAACAGTTTATCCAGAGGATTAGATACGTTATAAACAAACAAATTGCCACTAGAATTATTCCTCACTTGCTGTTTTAACTGTATAACCACCAAACCATTGCCTTCCAGTGATGATTTGCATCACATTGAAAATCTTCCACACTTATTGCTTTATAGTTCTTTTGACATTTAGTCTCCTACTGTTGCCATTCATGAAACAAGTCCTGCTTATTCATTAGGAATTGTAGGATGTGTCAGGTAGGTTTCCACAAGGGTCAGTCCTGGGTCTAGTGCAATTTACATGTGTATATTTTTAATGATATGGAGGCCAGAATAGAAAGCTGATCAAATTTGTAGATGTTGTAACTGGGAAGGACTACAAACACAGTGAAAGATAGGAGTAGATTTCAAAAGGATCTTGAGTGATTGGAGAGCCTGGATAGGTGCAACGGAATGAAGTTCAATGCAGACAAATGCAAGGTTATTCACCTAGGGAAGAATAACCAAATGCACAAATACAGAATGGGAGATAACCAGCTGGGTAGTAGCTTTCCTGAGAAATACCTGTGAGTTCTGGTGAATAACAGACTCAGTAAAACTCAGCATTATGACACAGCAAGAAAACTCACAAAAAGTAATTTTGATTTGTATTGACCCAAGTATCAGGTGCAAGGCAGAGAAAGTGATAGTACTGCTTTGGGCATTGGTTAAGCCTCAACTAGAGTATTGTGTGCAGTTTTGGCTTCTTTATGTTAAAAAAGGATGCCAAATAATTAAGAAGTAGGAGAACAACTGCTTTCCCTTGCTGCAGATAACATAATGTGGTGCAAGGGTTTTAAAATGCAGCAAAACAGGTTTAGTTTAGACATCAGGAAAAACTCCCTTGCTGTTGGAATAGTAAGTCAATGGAATAGATTGCCCAGGGAAGTTGTAGCATCTCCTTTTATTGTAGGTTTTCCAAGAGAAGGCTGGAATAAGCATTGGACAAGGATAGTTAAAAAAAATAGTACATCATGCATTCATACAGGAAGTTGAACCAGGTAGCTCTTGAGGTCCCTTTCAGCCCCATGATTCTACGATCTAGCCTTGAAGCTGCTTCTGTCCCCTCCTACAATTATTCCACACCCCTTCCATCTGTCTTCTGTCTCTGGAACACTTTTCTTATCTTCTACAGTTCAAAGATTTCTGTCCCTCAGAGCTCATTTACTTTAGTCAGCATTAAGTTGCTGAGCTCCTCCTCGCTGTGGCCTGCACTCTCTATATTAGCTACAAACTGTGTGTGAAATTAATTAAAGACCCAAATATTAGAAAATGGATAAATATTAGTTGTATCTTATGATATTTCACAGCGTATCCTTCTACAAGCTCCTTATCCCTTTCTTCACCCAGTCCTATTTCCTCTAACATAGACTGTAAATTACCTCAGGGAGTCATTGATACTTGCATGCAAAAATGGTCACATGTGTGGAATCATTATTATATTGGAGTTGCTAAATGCTCTTGATGTAAAAGCACTGCAACCCGGTGAAACTGTGTTAGCCTAGCTTCTGTTGCAACACCATTTAAATTGTGCTTTCTTTTAGTTGCTTTGATGTTCTCATTGATGTATTAATCCTTCCCATTAAAAATACGTCACTGTGCCAAAAAAAAAAATCTCAATTTGGGTAAGTATCTTTATAGTGAAGATAAGAGCTAAGCTGACATAACCAATAAGCGCTTTTACTGGCTGCAGTGTTAAATAATTATATACTTAGGTCTATTTAAGGTGTCCACTTTTTCTATGTATATAAACAGTTTTAAAGTCTTTATTTCAGTACAGGAATCTCTACAAGCAAGAGTGCCACCACTCCATGGTTCAGCAATACCGCTGTCTGTAGGAAGCAAACAACCAGTTCTTGAAAATATTTCACCTATTAGTAGAGTACAAGGCGTGCCAGACACTTCAGAATTAGTAAGAACATTACCTCAGAAGTACAGGAGGAAAACAATGTCAGACGAAGAGATGGAATTCATCCAAGTAAGTTTGATATTTGTTATTATTTATTTGGTTTGTGCAATATTTTTCAAGATGATGGGTAGCCATGATTTGAGAATAACATGATGAATTCCTTTGCTTTTTCACTTTTGTTAATTTTTCAGTTAGCTTTGCAAGTTCAGCATGCAATAGATGCAAGCTCTAGGGTCCTCATAACCAGGGATCCTGGTTTTCTCTGATTAAAAACTGCAAATTCTCTGGTTAAAAACCCAAAATCCATGATAAAAATTAAAGGCCCCCTACAGCCCTTCCCAGCGCTGCTGGTGCTCCCCCCGCCTCAACAACCCTCCTGATGCCCCTCGCAACAGTTCCCCAGACCCACAGACATGCAGACACAGACACTGACACCCACCCCAGCAGGTAAGTGTGTGGGCGGTCAGGGCAGGGGAAAGGGAGGGTGCTGGGGGAGTAGATCAAGAAGGGGGGGGGGAGTGTGCCCTTGTGCCCACTCTCAGGTGCAGGGCTGGGGGGTGAGGACAGGGGTGCCACTCTGGGTGACACACATGCCAGCTGGCCTGACAGGAGGTTTGCACATGAAGGCTGCCACCGCAACTCTGCCACTGCACCCTGTGCTACCATCCCATGGCCACCTAAATGGCTTTGTGGGCATGTGGCACAGGGCCAGCAGCAGCAGTGCAGTGGCAACCACCGTGTGCAGGCCACATATGTGCCACCTGTCCGGGGGTGTGAAACGGGGAGGCGGCTTGCATTCAGCGGCATGCCCCGCAACCAGCTGCACGGCTCTGCGGTGGCATCTGCATCGGGGGGGGGCGCTTTACGAGCAAGCACTGCCACCACAGAGCCATGCTCTTCGTCCCTAGATCCCACAGGTAAATGGGGCTTGGGGGCTTTGAGGCAGGGCTGCGGAAGATGGCTTGGGGGCTGAGGGAGTGGGGGGTGCTGCCGGTCCCAGGCAGCACATCGCAGCTGGGAGCAGGGCCAGGGGGTGAGGGCAGGGCTGCCCCTCTGTGGGGGGGCTTTGCAGGCAAGTGATGCGGGGCGCAGTCTGGTGGTGCTTGCCATGTGCAGGCTGCACACATGCCCCTGGCTGGCTGCCCAGGGGAGGGGAAGATGGAGGCTGGCATGAGGCTGGAGCACAGCTCCGTGGCCAACGCTGCAGCCACGATGAAGGCTGGGGACTTGGGCTTGGGCCCAAGCCCAAGCCCATGTGGCACTGGCACCTCCAGGTAAGTGGCATGCCCATGTGGCACTGCCACTTACCTGGAGGTCTATTATGGTGGTAACGGCCGCTGCCTCCAAAACCTCCCGCTGCCGCCGCAGAGCTCTGCCCAGAGCTGTGCAGCCGACCACCCAGCAGCAGCAGCAGTGTGGTGGTGGCCAGGCAGCCCACAGCCATCCCCACCCCCACGCCGCAGCCTCCGGCTGCACAGCTCCGAGCACAGCTCCACGGCGACAGCCAGAGGATTTGGAGGCAGAGGCAGTCACTGCTGGCACGGGCGGCTCCTGTCGCTTGCCTGTGGGGCTGCCTGTGCCAGCGATGACTGCTGCTGTCTACAAAACCTCCCGCTGCTGCCGCAGAGCCATGCTTGGAGCTATGCAGCCAGAGGCAGCGGCGCAGGGTGGTGGTGGGGATGGCTGCTTGCCATCCGGCCACCACCACACTGCTGCCCAGCGGCCATCCGCATGGCTCCAGGCAGAGCTCCGCAGAGGTTTTGGAGGCAGTGGCCATCACTGCCGTAATGGGCCTCCAGGTAAGCAGCAATGGCGCATGCAAGCCCAAGCCCCCGCCCCACCCCTGTCTCTTGCTGCCAGGGCTGGGGGCTTCCTGCCCTTTTGGCAATTGGCTTCTGCAGGCTGGAGCTGTGCCAGCCTGCAAGAGCTCTTTGCAAAAGCGGAGAATTTGCGGATTTCTCTGCTAAAAAGAGAAATCTGCATTTTCTCCGATAATAACAGGGAATCCGTGGTTTTCTCCCATTTTCCTGTGGAAAATGGAAAACCCGGATCCCTGCTCGTAACACACAACTTGGGTAAGTAAAGTCATCTTAACTGGTAGCTCAGTGTACATGGACACAAAGAGATTATGACTTGCCAAGTCACGACGTCCCAGACTACCTTAGTTCATGAAACCAAGTTATTCCTATGTCATTTTGAGGCAGAAAATAACTTGGCTAGGAACTACCAATGTACATGCTATTTTGTTTAGTTTTGAGCAGTGTTACCAGATTCACAGATCAGAAGCTTACCAGACAACAAAAATACTAAAAGCTAGAGGGAGACAGAAGTAACAATTGAAAGGTTTCCAAGTGTTACAGACTTCAAAACGTTTCAAAAAGTATCCTGGACACTGCATGTGATCTCTGTAGGACTCCCCAGTCAGAGCACTTCCAAATTACTGCTCTGATCAGGGAGGCTGTTCTCTCTGAGTAACCCTTGCCTGTCAGAACTGGGATGCCAGACCCTCCCCCCAATCTGGCTCCAGTAGGTGTGGGAGTGTCTAGAGTGTTGTTACCCCAAAATCTTGGATCAGAGAACCATTGTTTTGTGCATAGAATGCTTTACACAAGTATTTCCACTCCAATAACATAAGTTTATTCAGCAGCTAGCACACACATATTAAGACATGTACTAGTTACCATGCAGGCAAGTCTTGCTTCCTATCCTGTTGCTCAGACAGTCCAGGGTCTCAATGAGATGTTTAAGGGTGTAGTCCAGTAATCCAAAGACTTTTCGTTCCCAATTTTTCTTTATATCTTATGTTACTTACATATTTATTATTTCAACTTCTGCTATTAGCACTGCTATTAGCTATTTACAGACTATATAACCTATGTCTCACTATTGGATATGTTCCTAAACCTTTATGTGCTTAAACACACCCATACTTACCTTTCTTATCACACTGTATTTCTGCACATCCTCCCTATACTGTCAGTGTTTATGCGCAGATAAAATTTGTAGTTGCTTGCTCAGTTTTAACCAGGTGGCAACCTCCTGGCCAGCTTGGTTGCTATGCAGAAGTCACAGGAGTGGACACTGGCAGTTTTATGGTTTCAGTGCTGGGAGTAGATGGGGCTCCAGGAACACCTCAAGCACATTGAACCCGAACACTGGGTACTGCTGCTCCCAGTACTGGGAGAGAGGAGGCAACAGCGGCCAAGGGAATGTGAGATCTTGCCTGCTTCCAAGTGTGGTTCCAGTGGTGGCAGCAGGGGTGAGGGCTATGATCTACATAGCTGTAGTTACCTGCTCTTCCTCCCACTCCTTTATGTTTGTGCATGGAGGCAAAAAATGGAGCGCTGAGAGATGCTGGAGGACCCAGAGGTCCCCTGTCACATTTCCTAAACAGCAGTGAAGTGCTTCAAAATAGTACCTAATTCATAGTCACGTTTGGAATATTGAAGAAGGCATGTGCATTTGTATAGCTGGACCTTTTAAAGGCGTTAAAAATGTTTCAGTTCTTACTGCAGTCTGCACCGTAAAAGAATTGCATTTCTTTAGGCTTGTTAAGACAGGCATTTGCAAAGTAAAAATACCAATGAAGAAGTTATTACATTTCTTATATAGAGCTAAGAGTGATGGAACTAATTTTAAGTAGGAGGCTTCCTGATATGTCTCTACTTAAATTTCTAACAGGGAGACATAGTAAGTTGTAATAGAGCCAACATCAGTAGAACAGAGTATTAAATAGTTTGACTTTACTATTTTATACTTCTGAATTTGGACAAGTTAAATAACTGTCTTTTTTTCAAATTCTTATTCACCAGGATAGTACTACAGTGGGTTCATTTTTGCTTTTCATCAAATTATGGAGAAACCTTTTAATATGAAAACTATAGCTTTTATAAAAGTCAAGATATAGACATTTTCTGTCTTCCTTTGGCTATGATCTTACCTTTTATTTCTTTTATAATAAGTCTGAATTAAAGAAAATATCTCCCCACCCAGTAATACAACTCAGCTGTGTGTGTGTCTGCTTCTTTCCTTTACTATAAAGTTTGTAATTGTCCACTTTTTCTTTTACAGCGTGGAGGTCCAGAGTAAGCATAGACGATGTCTCTTCACCTCCATTGAAGAATGAATTATATTCACAGTAAAGGCTTTTCCTTCCGCAATTTGTTAATAGCTGTAATAAAGACCCCTTATGAAGGGTGACAAGATTGATGCTTCAGACTCTATCTGCTAATTTGTGTTTGGGCCAGTTTGTGTTAAAGACTGTGTGACTACACTTTATATACCTACACGATTCCAATGCATTTTTTCTGATGAGCCATTCTACTTTCCTGCTCAGCAATAGTTGCTTTTTTTTTTTAGTAGCTGTTCCACAGACAGCAATCCAGCTTCAGAATTTTTC